GTTAAAACAACGGATGGTTTTATTCTATAGATAAGTACTGCAGAGTGCGGATCTGTATTTGAAACAGGGGCGGTTTCTCCATTGATTCATTTGTGCAGTGAACATCCAGTTAAATTTCATAAAAATACATTATTTTAAAATAACATAAAAATATAAATTTAATTTTAAAATTTTTATTCTGATTGATTGATTATTCTGATTAGGTAACTACTTGATAGCATTATGGAAATGTACAATAAACGTTTGATAAAGATAAATAGGCAAATGGTTTTTCATTTTAAAAGTCTAAATTGGAAAATGGATCAACCAGTTAATTTAATATACTCAATGAGAAATTTTACCTAAGAAATGGTATGTACATTTAAATATTTTATATAAAGTTATGTTCTCCTGTAATTATCAATAGTGTTACCCTCTAGCCTAGATTGTTTGTTGTATAAAAACCTGAAATCTTTTATTTTAATGACATTTTTTTATTACCTTGTTTGTATAATTTAGTATTTTCAAAAATATTAGATGTATTAGTAATTTGGATCACTGCAGGTATTAAATAAAAATAAGGCTGTTGGTAAATTAGTTTACGGCTGGTAATAAAGTATGTCTCGAAAAGAGCAATAAGTATCGAACATAAATTTTGATTTTGATTAGGCACTTAACAAGTCACATCCCACATATCTACATGCTCTTGGTAATCAATCCTATAAGTACATATCAAAACATTAATATATTAACTACAATCAAACAATAATTTGAAAATACAGATGAAGCCGATTACCTATTTAGACAAAATTACTATTGTTCTGTTTTTTATTAAAACATATTATTTTTTAGTAAACATGGACATGCAAAAGTTTGCAATGAGGGCCTGACAGTAGCGAGAGTAAGAATACTTTGGAATCTGCTGTAAAATACACTTAGAAAGGGTCATATGGAGCATTAAGTCTGATTATATTTTACGATGTGTATCTCACTATTATGTTATTATTTCAACCTTTTAGTATCCTTTGATAAAAGAAGTTGATAATTATTGTTGACCTCTTTAAACTGTTTATGTTACCTTATACATTATTGTTCTACTCTTCATACAGTATTCTGTGAAGAGTATTGGTTTACTTTGTCCGATGTCACATTTTTTTGTCTGCACGATAAGTCAAAAACGAGAAATGATATCAACTTGAAAATTTTAAGCATAAATCAAGCTCTATAAGGGGACAAAGTCTATTGGTTCTTAACTAAAAATGAAGCTTTATAAGAAGATAAAGCATGGTGATACTGAAAAACAAAATGAATATATTGGAAAGTTAAGGGGAGTTAAAATATTAAAAAAAAAATCCTAACTGAAAAACGAAAAATAAAATTTTTAGCAAACATCAAGCTCTAAATGAGAAGAAGCCCTTTAATTATAAAAAAATCTGATTAAATATGGGGGATTTAAGGCAGGTTGAAATTAAAAAAAAATCAAAAATGAAAAGCGATATCAACATGAAATTTTTAGTAAAAATCAAGCTCTATAAGGAGATGAGGCCTATTGAGTGTGAAAACAATCTGATTGAAAATGGGGACTATTCTGTAAAAATTCCCTTATATTTAACGGCCTTTAAAAATATTTTCTTCTTTAATTCGGTCACTATTTAAACGGATCTTTAAAATACATTAGAGGACTATCTTAAAGAAATCTGTTTAAATAATGATAGAAGTAAATTAACGAATACGAACATGTTTTTATAGACCGCAAATATTTTTAAAGGCCTTTAAATATAAAGGAATTGTTACAGAATAGACCCCAAGGGGAGTTAAGGGGGTCTGTTAAACTGCGAAGAGTATCATTTAGATAGGCATTTTATATCTTTATTCTAGTTTGTATATGTGTAATATTTTGTATTGTGATGGGACTGATCTTATAAAATAAAACATTTTAGTTCTTATTGTATTTGCCAATAAAAGGTATTTAAAAAGTATATTTTTTATTTGACATCTGTTACAAATTGTGAAAATGATTAAACTTACAATTAAAACTGAAAAATGGTAGGTAAAGTTTCATATAATATTTTTTACACAAAAATCAATGTCAAGCTTTCTACATAACCTGATATATATTTAAAAATAATCTCAAATTATGTAAAAAAGTCAGTTTAATGACTAATAATGTTTGTAGATGGTTTTCATCGTATTAAAAACAAAACAAATATTATACTAACTAAAATATTAATTTATTAATAGTTGTAGTGCTTGAAAACAGTATGATGTTGATAATAATAACTGCACTCAACACAAACTCAAATAATAAAAAAAAACAGCGATATTATCTCTTGTACAAAGTTTTGAACCGAACAAAGATAAAATTATTGGAAAAAGTAAATACCCATTTTAAATTACCACGAGCGCCACTGGTTTGAATGTTCACAATATTTTTTATTTCTTGGAGTTCTTTATTGTGTCCAGTTTAAACAGTTTAAAGAGTCGTTTTCGGATAAATGATAATTCTCTTATAAAATTTATAAAGCAGTTATTCCTAACCTCAGAAAGATTATAATAAAGAGATACAATGATATACACATTTAACCAGAGTACAACGTCTATAATAACAGTGTATTATATAATTTAAAACAAAGAACCACATAAGCGGGTTGTATTAGTTTTATTAACTTTATAATAATTTTCTGGATAAATCTAATAGTAACTACAGTTTACAACGGTATAAGTGAAAATGTATCTATTATAAGTAATTGTAATTCAAAAGTTATAGAATCGTTATTGCAATCACAAATATTGTACATTTTAAAACAACTTAATTTAGTTATATAGGAAAATCAAGCCATGGATTACATATGGTATTACCACGTCCATTAAACATAGGGATTATTTATATATAATTAACCTCTCTTTCAAAACTTCTAAAATACCTGCCCAGTGGAATCTGTCGTGAAACCCGTATTTAAAACAGGGGATACAACGCAACTAAGTAACTATAGACCCATATCTGTCATAAACAACTTCGCAAAAATTTTTAAATTTTTTTAACATTCATAATATAATCACAGATAAACAATATGGCTTTATTTAGGGTTCTAATACTGAAAATGCCGTAGCAGATTTTTTAACCGAAATAGTAAAATCACTAGACGAGTCATCAAAATGCCTTGCAATTTTCCTTGATCTCGCCAAGGCTTTTGATACCGTATCACATGCAATTTTAATGGAAAAGCTAGAAAACTACGGAATTCGAGGTACATCTCTACATTTACTTCAAAACTTCCTTGAAAATAGAGTTTATTATTTAATCTTAAAAATATAATTAAAATAAGCAAATTTAAATTTGAATTAAAAAAATTCGTGCTGTTCGATAGTGATATTTTTATCAAAATATTAAACTTTGCTTAATACAAAAATATTAATAACTACAGATTCCATTCACCTTCCCTTATGGTAAATTTCTTCTCCTTCTTTTGTTACTAATTTGATTACTTAATAAATATAAACATACATTTCTGGTATTAATTCTCGACTATTATTTTTTTTATAAATTGTGATTCTATTTCAATATTTCACTAAGTCAGGTCAGGTTAGGTTAGATTCAGGTCAACATTTTTTTTTTTTTTTTTCATAATTGTCTTTAATTAATTTTATCGTTGGAGAAGCCTCAACCCTTACATGTATACATGCAAAGCTGCCTAGGCAGGTAAGGAATTGGGTGCTTGTCCAACAAGCAAAATTTCAAAATTAATTATACTTAAATTGTACGTTTTGAGAAATTAATAAATTACTTATTTACTGTAGTTAGATATCTTACTCAATAAAGTCTAACAAAAATTTCGTACTAGTAGTTTAAAAAAGTTGTATTTCAGTTATAAAAAATTAAGTTATTTATCGTGTCGTTTACGTGTGTTTTTAATTAATTATACCAACATTTTATAACTTTGTTTGTTACTTAGGGTTATTTATTAAGTTACAGTATTTGTTGCAGTTATACTATCCACTTTGTATACCTTTTAGTGCTATTATAATTAATTTCAGACCTTTATACGTTTGACTATATAGGTACAATAACGTCATTTTGGTTCGGTATTTGTTATTTAATTTAAATCACCGTCTTATTTTTTTTGTAAAATACCTTTTATAAAACTTGTACCTACTTGGATCCAAGTGATAAGGGGGCGTTTCCCCTTCTAAAATTATTGAATTTTAATAGTATACTATTTGTGATTGAAAAAAGTAGGATCAAAGCGTTTTATTCTTATAAATATATGTTCTTGAATTATTATACCTATTCAAGTATATCATTAAATAATGTACAGTGACATGTAAATTTAATTAGAATTAATTCAATTACAATTTTGATAAGATACCTACTATGAATAGCCTTAGAAATTACATTATACCTATTTTGTAGTAAAATAATTAGATTTTCAAAAATATTGTTATATTTAGGTAACTTTGTTGGTAGTTACAGGGATTTATTTGTACCTATTTTTTTATTTTACTTTTTTAATTCCATAGAGAGTAAATCACTGTCAATCGAATACATACCTGCAAGGCCTTTATATTTAATTTAACACCAAGTGACCTAGTTAGAAAACTATATCCCTATTTTTTTGTGAAAACACGACATAATTTTCAAGTCTATTTCATGTGAAATTAAATCTATTTTTAAGTTAAGAAAAATAATATTACAGTCGTATATTTTTGATTTGTATATTTCTTTTTCATTTCAATTGACCTATATTTTCTTTTAACAAATGATAGTCTTTCATTTTTAAAAAAAATTCTGAGAAATTCGTCAAATTTTAATCGAAATAAAATAAGATACAATTTATGTACAATAGATATATTTTTGGTTTGATGAATGTAGTTTATTTTAAAGATTAAAGACCACGTTAAATTTAAACAAATCTCATAATCGTTTACAATCACGAAAACACTCTAGACTACCGTAACAACTCATATAAATATAGATATCCATAAAGCTACTATTTCCTAAAAATAAACTCCTGGAGACTCACCTCTCTCAAAGTACTTTAATTCGTTTAAATATCTTAAACACTGCACTTCCTTTTTGACCGTGACCACGACGAACCGTTCGGATCCATTCATGTTCGTACATACACAGAGTGTTGCGATTTTAATTGGAAGCTTTGCGTGGCGAACGTTTATTAATTCGGATTGTAATTGATGTATTCCATGCAGCAGGCGAGAGCAAAAAGCCAGGCAACCAAGATAGCGCCCGTGTCCTATTTTATTTTGCACTCGGGCACGACACAGTTAGGCGTTCACCCGCGAGGAGCGAGGAATTGCCTCGGTTCTTGCGCAATGAACGTAGCAGGGGTGGCTCGAGGGTTGGAAAATAACTGTTACTTTGTAGCTAGTTACGAGGGACGTTCTGAAAAATTATAGCGAGCCGTGGAAACGGAGAAAAAATAGTTTTTTACATTACAAGTCCGGTAGGTGACTTTTACTTTTTTTAAAAAGAATAAATAGATACCAACTACCTAAATAGTATTAATAGGTATCAATACATAGGTACCTATATAGGACTAATGTTGAACATTATGAAAGTGGTTTCGAACTAGCTATTTATGAAACCAGTTACAAAATGTCTTATTTTGTGTAACGAGTGAATATTTGCGGGACGAGTACAGCGAGGTCCCGCAACATAAACAAGTTACATAAAACGACATTTCGTAACGTGTTACACATAATATTTTTTTCTAATTTTGACTAGATTATTTATAAAATTCTGTTTTGGTAAGAAATTACTGACCCCTGGGCAACCAATATTATTACTTTCTTGTATTTTTAGGTGCATATGCATCATTTTCAAATAAGTGGGTTATTTTGTCGTGTATTCCCTTTTAACCCTTTAAGTGGTAGTCACTTAACTAATCACTATTCAAAAAACCCGCCCTGTTTTAAAATATTTGAAATTGCGATATCACCCATGGAACTGATAAGTTCTTCTTAAATCGTAGACGAAAGTTAATTGACATGCCAACTCCCTTTATTTGCATGTTCTTTCAAATGGTTTGAGAGAAGTGATTCATATTCAGCTATCAATTCCAGAATACCGAGGTAATTTCTATTTCTCGGTGAACCAATAATTTCATCATCACCTCGGAAGCGTAAGCTGCGTTCAGCAATAAATTTAATAGTACTGACGACAATTCTGAGGATTTACCGCCAATATTGGATCGCTAGCTATTGATCAATGCGTCCTGTGACTTTTCCCCGTTACACTAAACTCATTACCGATTCCAAGTGAGTCTTTGACGTCTCGTGCTCGTTTAGACGATCAAATGCATGCTTCCATTCACAAAAGCCTCCTCCACTTACTGTCGTGTTTTTGGTGGACATTCATTTACATGCATAACAATATAGTCTACCCGTAGTTGGAGAAGAACAAAGCCAAAATCGGTTGACGGTCTCTCGATTTTGATTCCGGCGTTTAAACATATTCTTTGAATATTCCCGAACAATGTTCGAATGATCTCAAGACTGATCTTGTAGAATTGAACTCTGTAAAGATACTTTCTCACAATTTTAAAGGTCTGTGGAACCTTTTTCTGCCCAATATATAATCATTTTCTCTGTAATACTTTCGGGCCAAAGACCAATGTCTGGCTTTTATCCGTTAAACAGATAGATGAAGGTCGACCTTACTTCGGATTTTAGACAATCCCAGATAGCACAAATTCGTCTTAAAGACGTCTTTAAGACGTCTAGCATAAGACATTAGAGACGTCTTTAAGACCTCTGGTATTTCCTGAAAGACGCCTCTAAGACGTCTTAGAAGACGTCTGATGTTACAAAAGGGGATGTCTTTAAGACGTCTTATTAATGGCTTATATTGGTCTGTAGAGCTTAAAATAAGCCATAAATAAGACGTCTTTAAGACGACTTATTAATAGCTTATAATGGTCTTGTAAAGCCTTAAATAAGCCATAAATGAGACGTCTTTAAGACGGATATCTTGGTTATTAAAATATTAGTAGAAGAATCTTGCCGGTTATAAAGAATGCAAAAATAGAATTAAAAATATTTATTGATAAAATATCTATTAATCACAGGTCACTAAGAGTTATTTTCTTTGTAGCGCATTCGATCACTCCTCTTTAGCCATAATTGGATTGATTTTTCTATTCCTCTTTGATTTGTAGTTGCCTTTGTAAAGCTCCTAAAAAGAAACTTAGTTAAGAGTATCTAGTCACAGAAAATTATACTTTGCAAAAGTTAGTAAAAACCGAAAGAACAGTTATCCATAAAACAAACAAAAAATAATTTCTTAGAATTTTAAATCAAAGAATTTTTATAATCATTTAGTGCAATATGAGCTATTATGCTTAATCGCCTACTTTAACAATTTTACTTTAACTTGACTCAAAATGGTTTTCTAATAGGGGTTTTTTTGATATTAATAGCTCTCAAAATCTCCATAAAAACTCCCAGACCCGATATTTTGGTAAGAAATAGAAATAATTTAATTCTGTAAAAGCCAGTTCACAGAGCACTAAGAGAGCTTTAGTTTTAGAAATAAATTTATTTTAAATAGGTCAATATGTAGATGGTGTTGGGTCAATATTTTTATGTTCGATGGGAGGATCTTTCTTTTGTAGTGCATAACATAGTGGGGGAACTGGGAGGAGACCCGATCTCTGTGGCAGGGACGGTTTTGGTTATTAGCATCATATTCACTATTATATTTACGTAAAAGATGTTTAATGGAATTATACAGGGTGGTCCACCGTATACGCCTCGGCCTGTATATCCAAAACTAAAGTTTTTTAAAAAATCTGTTTTTACGGTGAGATGTATATTAGAAAAGGCAACAATTTAAAAATAATTTTAATAATACAGGGTGCTGCAGGAAATTGGAATATATCAAAGTTAGGTTTTTTAATCGGGACACCCTATATTTATTGAATTTTTGAAATCTATAAAGAAAATTAGTGTAACTTTGTTAAGGGGTTGTTATACCTAGAGTCTATCGTTTTTGATTTATTCAAGGATTTTCAAAATTTTCGGGTGTTTAAAAAATATAATAATAATATTTCAAAGTGATTTTTTAAGGTACATTAAGCGTCTTCTGGGCAAAGTTACACTAATTTTCTTTGTAGATTTCAAAAATGCAATAGAATATAGGGTGTCCCGATTAAAAAACCTAACTTTGATATATTCCAATTTCCTGGAGCACCCTGTATTATTGAAATTATTTTTAAATTGTTGCCTTTTCTGATATACATCTCATTGTAAAAACCGATTTTTTAAAAAAAGTTTAGTTTTGGATATACAGACCGAGGCGTTACCGGTGGACCACCCTGTATATTATACATACTCAGAGTAATATATAAGGTCATGTATAAGGACATTTAGATTGTAAAAAGTGATGCTATTGCATGAGTAAACAAATATGAAATCTGGCAAACCAAAGTTTTAAATATTTAAGACATCCATTTAGTTGTAGAATATTTTAAATTAAAATTAAATTAAGTTAATTTAAAAAAACATTCTATTCAATTTTTGAGGACTTCAATTAAAGATTTGTTCCATATATGTTACAATTAATTTTATTTATTTAGAACATTTTGCTGAGGATTTATTTAATTATTGTAATTGGTTTAAAAAGTTACTAATAACGATTTATTTTAATTATAGAGTCAGAAAAAATATCAATTATTTTTTTGAAGTTTTACTCTCATTTCGTAAAGATAAAAATAAGACGTAAAATATCTTTATTTTTTTATAGCCGTCCATACGTTCTCGCGACTTGTTATTTGGGTTATGCTTTTATCTTTGAATGTAATATGAAACTTAAATTTCTCCTTTTTGTATTCTAATATTCCTATATAGGGTGTATCTGATATTTTATATATCTCGAGTGCCTTTCAAAAGTAACTCCGTAGACTGAGTCACAAGCCGGCACTGCAATAATTACAAATCCACAATCCACTGTTAGTACCTATTACTTAGTCATTTCTGTTATTATTCTTTTGTTTTACACTTTTTTAATATATTATTTTTAGTGTTATATTATTCTATTTAAATATTTAAAGGGTTGTTTTCTTTTTTTTCTTCTTTTTCTTTGTTTTTGTTTCCTTTTTTTTTCAGTCTAAGCGTAAAATTGTTATACAATTTTTCTTATGCTTTCGAAGTAGGTGTAGGCACGAAATATCTTACCAAGGTATATAGAGCTAAACCATTGACAAAAGCTGATATACTTTCATTGAAAATAGATATTATTACTATCATTCAAGACACAAGTTGCCAGATAATATCCAGATAGTGTCAATACAATGTCAGGTTTGAGACATATAAATATCAAATTTAAATTTGAAGTTGCAGTCGTAATAGACCTCCTGAAATCGCTAGATCTAATTATAAAATGACCAACTTGGCAACCCTGGCTGCAAGGATCTGGAAAATATTTAGTCGGTGAGTATGTATAAGCAGGATGGCTTAAATGTTACTAATGGATAATAGGTATCAACTTGCTTCTTGGATCATGTTTCTGTTGGAATCGCATCGTGAGAAATTGGTGCACGCGCCGACAGATTCTTTGTTTATAACAGGTGATATTAGGAGATGAATCCGCTGGAACTAGTAGCTATTGCCAGTGGTGTATTGAAACGAGAATTTCTAACAGAACGCGATGTAAAGTAGATTTTTCTGTAGAAATACAATAAGAAACTTTTTTTTAATAAATCGGCGTATTTCTAACTACAGGAACTACTCGTAATAATAATATTTATTTTTTAGTTGATTTTACGTGTAAAAGGGCCACAAAATATTTAATATTTAATATTTATTTTTTTAAACTTTAAACTTGAAAAAATCTTGATTATTCCGACTTAAAATTAAGAATAATATAATTACTAATTAAAACTCAAAAAAAGTCAGAAAAATATCTTTAGTATTATAGTTGTATTCTTACAGTACGTTTACACCAAAATGGTTGGCAAATATCATGAGAAATTCGAATACTCAAATGTGACCAATTTTAAAATAAAAATAAGGGAAATGAGAAAAACTCCGTGTCACAGAAACGTTTCAATGCAGCAACTTTTTTAATAAATAATTACAACAAAATTCACTACATAGTTAAAAGTAATAATTTTATAACAAAAGTAAATATTATGATAGTTCGTATTTTGAAAAATTAATTTATCAAAATCAAAAATGTATGATTTTAAATTTT